ACAATCTACTGCAGACACTTAATAAATCAGTCGGTAGACCTTGAGACTCAGTAGATTAGATTCATAAACATGAAATTATGTGTCAGTTACTAGACCTAAAATAATATGTAGAGATCCTTCACTGCTACATATATGTGTCTAAAATGCAATTTAGAATATGATCAATATTCATAGTAAATAAAAATGAGGGTCGAGACATTAAATTTTTCTATGGAAATATTCCTATGACATACATTGTTGTCAAAATTACATTGTTAAATTTAGGTTATACAGTCATTGATGACCTTTTTTGTTGGTGCTATCGTACTAACTCTACCTTACTAACTGTTGACCTCAAGATATGTTGGGGCTTCTTCAAGTTTTTAAAAATAAATAATATGTACATATTCAAGGTCAAATATTCTCGGTCTCTATGAAGAAGGATGACTCTTGTCTGTGGTCATGCTCTAATATTTGTAACTCTCCCACTTATTTTGACTGTTGCTTTCATCCCATATTTTGAAAAAAGTGTATTTACAGTCAAAATATAGAATTACAACATGAATATTTTTAAAAATTATTGGACCATATGGTTAATGTTTTCAAATGAACTTGATATAAATGATTGATGATGAATTACAAAAGCCTTGAAAGTGAGCAAACATATTGTAAGTAGAGCAACATCATTCGTGTTTTATGTAAATTCTGCCCTTGAATGTTTACCCCTAGTGCCTGTTTTTGCCTTTTCTTATAGGTGCCACTTGTGTGTTAAAGAAGAAATTTTCAGCAAGCCAATTTTGGAATGACTGCAAGAAGTATAATGTGACTGTGTTTCAGTATATTGGAGAGCTTTGTCGTTACCTTTGCAAACAACCCAAGGTAAGAGTAATCATTACCAGAGAAAAAAATATTTGAGAAGGAGTAAGTACTGAGAGAGAAAAAGTAATTTTTATTCTTTGTTTATACTCCAACTTCTTTCAGAACATAATTTAACTGGCTTACAAAGATGCAATACCCCAAGATAAGATAAATATAGGACAAATCAGAGAGAATAAAAAGAGCTATCCAGGAATGTACTAATGTGCTTTGTATTGTAGCAGGATAAGACAAACTCATGACCCAGTCCACTTTGAGTTTAGACTAATCAAAATTTCTATAAACATAACATGCATCAGATTACGAAATTAGATGCGTGCTATGTTTACAGAAAGCAATTATCTTGAGGTTACAATAGATAATCTTTTAAGATGCTCTTCTCAAACAAAACCCCAAAGACTATATACTTGTTTATCTACTTTTTCTTTTAAATAAGTAATTGTATTAGAATATTTTTTGTTTTGTTTTACTTTAAATTAAAAAAAAGAAAATCTCTGCTTTGATTTGCACTTGTCTCCCCACCTAAAGCAGCATTTCCACATTCTTTTGATGGATTGTCACTATGTGAAAAATAGACAAGTAGAGAGAGTTGAAACAGCCTGAAGTTTGTCTTTATTGGTTTGTTTACTTCTTTGCCCTCAGAACTTATTTTCTTTTTCCTGGTGTCATTTATCTCCCCAAATGCTTATTTTTTAACTTTCTGATTTTCTAAACATTCTTGAGGTTACAAAGAAGTGATTCTAACCAAATCAACACCAAGAGGCAATAGAGGATGCCTCCCCAGGTGGGTGGGATGGCAGAACCTTGGCCTTGGAGACCTTCCTGGGCTGGGGGATCTCCTGCTCATTACCTTTTGCCATCAGCACACCTGCTTAAGGCGTGGATGATGGACTGGGATATCTTGTTCCCTGTAGTTCAAATATAGGCACATAATTGTTCCATTTATTATCCTGCAGCACTGCTGAGAGTAGGCTGGAGGCACTTAAATAAGACTTTATTAAGGACATGGGATTACACAGAGGAGATAAACACAGAAAAGAATGTGAAATGGACAATCTGATTTACAAAATGCTTTTATTCATTTTGAACTTGGAATTTACCATGGACAGACCTTCACTATAGCTCCTAACCCACCTCCTTATGCATTTTTTGCCACGAGTGTTTTAAATAACTATAGATTCCGTAAATGCACAGCCAAGATATGGAGTTCCAGAGAATTCTTTGGGTTTTCTGAACTTTTTTTTTCTTCAAGGAGACCTTGCTTCAGTTAAGGGTTGTGGTCTTATCAGAAGAGCCACAATAGAACAATTATAACCCCACAACTTCGTATATCATCTCTTCTAGTTTTCATTGTATTCTTTGATAATGTGATATATGGACTAAGTTAATTTAGGGAATTTATGCACTCCAGTAAGATTAAAGCCACCTTCAGATGAGGTTCCATGACTATAAATAGTACAGAACATAGTAGCTGATGAAGTTCCTCATCTTCTTTCTAAATCATGCACTCAGCCATTCCTGTTTCCTCTCATCCTTTTATAGCAATATTAACTCTTGCAAGGTCATTTACTCAGTAAATATTAATTGAATGGTTGAATACATGCATTTATTTTTTTTCCTAAAATTTTACCAACTTAAACAATGCTGCCATTGGTATCTTTATGCAATATAGCCAATATGGGGTCTTGCAAGCAAATGTAAATAGTCAAAGGCTGTGGTTATTTTTATGATTTTTATGGTGTATTTCCAGATTGCTGTTTAAAGTGGTTGAAGGCATACTCCCCTTCTGCGATGTGGGAGTATGCCTGTTGCACAGTCCCTTATCAGTACTGGGTGTTATTAAAAATAGTGGTCTTCCAGTTGTGCTTCACAGAGAATTAGAAGCTTCCTCAAGCCCCCTCAAAAGTCCCTGAAAGATGGAGAGTAGGGGAAAAAGCAGGCCCATCTCCATGTCTAACCCTTTGAAATACCATGGATGAAACCCAATTTCCTTGGGCTTTTCACTGAAATTTTGTTTAAACAAAGGACACCTAAGGAATTTTTTAATTGAAAAAATGATTATTTAATTCTATTTATAGATTTATATACTAGAAATGTTAATACAACTGGCAAAGTGGGATAGTTTTCTAGCTGTATGTCCCTTTTAAAATATCTCTTCTGCATCTTTTATTCATTTATCTCTTCAGCACATAATGTTTAATCTTATCTGTTTGAATTCTCACTTCATATAATAATGGTATTAATATTTTGTCATATTGGCTACAAATCTTTTACTCAGGGTGTTTTACTTTGATTTTTTTAATAAAATGAAATATTTTTTCACCTCTCTGAATTTGTATCACCCTAATTTTGGGAAAATATGATAGCTGCAGAGAATTTGAGAGGACTGAGAATTGACAACAGAATTCCTGACTGCTTTTTAATTAATTTAATTTTAATTTTTAATTTTATTTTTAACTACATCTCTTTGAAGAAAAGATGATGTTTATAAAATAATTTTTAAACACTCACCTGAATGCAAATTGAGGAAGAGAGAGGGAAATAACTAGAGCTTTACTAAAAGGAAAACTTAACGATTTTTTTAAGAAGAGAAGCACTGTATCCTAATCCTCTTTGTTGATTTCACACAAAATGAGTACAAGCAGTTCTCTGCACTAAAGATCAGGAAAAGAAGGTCATTCTGTTATGACATCTTATCCCTTCAAGGAGATCTTGCATTTTTCCTGTCCAATGTTCCTTTCAATGACCTTCCCTAAAAGGGAAGGGACAGTTTCTGCTGTGCAGCCAGCAGGGCAGTGGATTCAGGTAGGACCAGCAAGTGAAGAAGTGACATGGTTCTTACCTTCAAACAATTAAAATTAAATATCTCATAAGCCGTGGTTTGAAACCCCAAAGATATTCATTTGAAAGAAATCCTTAAATAAGAGAAAGCAAAACTATGTGTTCTCTAACTGAATCCAGATTTGTTAATCTCAGAGTAAGTAGTATGTTTCAAAGGAGATTTACCTGCAGGCAGAAGTCGCAGTCTGATTTGAGTGTTTATGCACAGTTGCATAAAAACTCCCTAGGTTGGTTTTCCTTGGATGGAAGCATTTGTCCACCCCCATCCCCCACCCACCCCTTTCTTTTCTTTTTTGAAACTCCAGTTACAAAAGTTCCTTTGGCATAAACATTTGATGTGCCTCTTGAAAACTGCTGGCAGCAGCACTGTCCTTAAAAAGCCACAGGGACTGACTCCTCTTAGTCATGAGAGATGGGGAAATTATTCTCTTCCCTGAGACTAGGAAAACAGCTCTTCCCCATATTCCATCTTCCAAGTTTTCTACATTACTTAAGCACCATCGTACAATTTCTGATTGGACCAACTTCTTTATTTTATTAACATTAATGCTGCCTGTAATATTAATTGATGAGGAATGTGGTGGAACTCTAGACATCAGTGATCCTCTGGGGGAGACCTGCTGCAGGGTTTATCTTATTTAAATAATTCTGCTTAATGCAGTTGACAGTTAGCCATACCTAGGGACATGTCTAAGGATAGGATCACATATGCCACTCATTCATTCACTCATTCATTCAAGTAATGTTGTGGGTTTAGGTATACGGGGCACACAGGACAAATCAGACTGCTACTCTCGTAGAACTTAACACTCTCATTTGGGGTAGGGTTCATTCATTCAAGTAATGTTGTGGGTTTAGGTATATGCGGCACACAGGACAAATCAGACTGCTACTCTCGTAGAACTTAACACTCTCATTTGGGGTAGGGAGAAAAAATAAACCAGCAAATACATGAAGAAAAGTAATTACAGACAGTGGTAAGTGTTATGAAGTCACAAAACAGGATGTGGTGACGGAGAATGATGGATGGTAGGAATGGAGTGTTGCTAATTAGACTGAGTGATCAGAGAAGAGTTCACTGAAATGGTGACCTATAAGCTGAGGATGTGCCACGACAAGTAGGATCTAGGCACAGGAAATCTGGAAGATTGCAGTCACAACAGAAGAAACTGAAAAGGAAGAGGCCCCCAGGGGAACCACCTGAATGTTGTAAGAGGAGGAGAGGGCCGCTGGGTGGTCTGTGCACCAGATCTGGTAGGGCTTGGATCTTTGTAGACCTTGGAGGAGAAATTTGGATGTTATTCTCATCAGAGTATTTGACAAAAGATGAAGGAAGAACTATACCACATTGGGATCTATTATGAAGGAAAGTGAACAAGACCTGTTAGATCAGGGATGGGGAGTGAAGGAATAGGTAGAATCAAGGACAAATCCCAGCTTTTTGTTTCAAACATCTAGGTAAATGGCAACATTTGCTGAGATAAGATAAGAAAAACTGAGATGCGAGGAATGAAAATTAAATTTGGGGGCAGTCTGTTGTTTGATATGTCAATTAAGCATCCAGGTGAAGAAGTAAAATAGGCAATTAGATGTTGAAATCTGGAGCCCATAGAGTACAGGATCTAATTAACAAAGCAAGGGCCTACATTATGATGCATATGTATGAAGAAACTTCATAAAGTTGTGGAAAGATTCTTATTATCTTTTAATTCTATTTTTCTATAAACTTTTTGAAGTACTCTCATATAATGCCTACTGTTCAAGTTAGTATTTTTAGTTTAACATTTAGGTTATATAATTTGTCTACAGCTGTCAATGCAGAACACCCACATTTTGACATTCTCAGGACATCGTCTATACTTTTTAGCAATGTATTTTCTATAAATTATCCTTTTTCTCAGTTATAGTTTCCTAAAAGCTAAGAAATTCAATGGGAGCCAGAAAACATCCTTTTGAGCCTGGATATTCTCGTTAGAGTGTATTAAAATTTTGACAAAATGTACCACAGTCGACTCCCATTATGAAAAGAGAGACATTTAAAGCTTCTGGATATTAATACTTGTTCACTAAAAAATCATACAAATTGTATTAAATTTTTCACTAGTAATGTTTAGATTATCCTTCAGTGACCATCCTCCTGGGGGTAACAAAATGAAAATGTT